AAATAATTGATTGATGCTTTGCTCTTTCCCAAACCTTTCTAGCAAGTTCCAGTTTTGGACCTCAGTATTTCTTAATTAATGAGGTGGGTTAGTTTAGTTAGAAGCTAAATCTGCTATATAAAAAACAGGATCCCTGCATTTCAAAATGGCTTCGGATAAAGATCAGTAAAAAACTAATAATCATTACAATTAATTCCTGGATTAGACATTCAGAGAGGAAAAAGCACAGATTATTTACTTTTTACATTGACAAAAAACATTGTACACTACACTAAATGTAAGTGTAATGCTTTCCCATTGTTAATATGATTAAAAAACACAAAAGAACGTTAGGGTTTGTGCAGAATCAGGGGTACTGTAATTCAGACTGTATGTGGGGCAGACGAGTTAACACTCAATCTTTTTGACAGGTACAAAAAGAACAGAAATTTTTCATCATTTTAGATTTCACAAGCAAATTCAGGAACCATTTTTGCTCTGAAAACTCCTGGCTAATTAATGACTGCTCGGAGGAGGCAGAGCATGGCTCTCTTTGTTTTGCAATCTGCGATGTTTCACTATTTCTCCACAATGTGTAGAGTCTCTGCATGCCTTGCTTTTTGGGATGGATTGTGACTGTATGTTTCGGTTTGATTAATTTTGTTTGTTCCACATAAGCTTCAAAGCCACAAGTCCAAGACAACGCTTTGTACTGTTTGTCTCTGCTGACAATGTACATTCTCGTCCAAAGAAGTGTGGAGTTTTTCCAATTTTGTCCAATGTAAAAAGTAAATAATCTGTGCCTTTTTCCTCTCTGAATGTCTAATCCAGGAATTTATTGTAATGATTATTAGTTTTTACTGATGCTTTTATCCGAAGCCATTTTGAAATGCAGGGATCCTGTTTTATATAGCAGATTTAGCTTCGGTTTATACTGCTGCCAACCAGCTGCATGTTTGATCAAGGGACACAAACACAGTTTAATGTCCCTCCACCAGAGCTTTGAACCCACGGCGTGCCCTTTTGGCCCAGTCCTCGAGCCTCCCACTCTTCTGAGCAGTGCCCACAGCTAGTAATCCATCTGTGAGTGTTGTGTTCTCCTTGCCTCATGTACACAATGAATCATTTTTATGAAGGGGTCAAAGGAAGAAGACTTGAAACACCTTAGCATGTTCATTATCCCTTACTTCTACTAATGTCACCCTGTACTTGTGGCACATGGATGGTAATCTGATGGAGAGCCAAATGAGAAACCCCCAGACTCTCCTCGTCCTTTCCACGGCAGATCTTTCTGCATGTGGATCAAATCAGAATTATCCACTAATTGACTATTTACAGGGCTCCAGAAAAGCCCTAATGGACTTGATATTAAATCCCCCTCAGATATTTAAAGTGTCTTTTTGGAGTGGCTTGCCGAAAAACCGGGCTTTTTCTTTTTTACAAGACGGCCGAGTTAAGCCCGTCAGTGTGTCGGAATGGGCCAGCCCAGCCCAGGCGGCTGTTAGATGGGATTATGGGACGACAGTAGGCAAGGGCAGTGCGACGCAGGGGAGAGGGGAACGGCCAGATCTCACATCAATGACTTCCAGATGGACTGCAGGCCCAGGTTCTCTCACTGGAGATACATACTCAGCTTGGTTAACTTGTGCTCCATGAGGGGCTTAAGCTTGGCTTCTTTATAATGAGATTGACTGGGGTTTTATGTGGAAAGTTAGATAACATAAATTTCAATATGCCGGCCCTGCCCTTTAATGCACTATTAAGGCTTCGACTAAAAAACTTTGACTATTAAACCAAAGACAGGGATCTTTGGTGTAAACTTAAAAGTTCCTTTTAAATGTTGCTGTTGTTTTGGGTACAGCATTTAAACACTGCAAAACTACCAATAACTATTTTAGTTATAACAGTAAGTAAGAGTAGTCAGTTGTAATTTAATATCAATATCAACAATTTATATCTTTTTTTTAGGGGAAGTATCAAACTTTGTTCTGTGTTTTTGCAGATCTGGTTGGCCCCAGCAGCAGTCCAGTTCTGCTCTCTCATCCATATTAAAAGCTTGAAGAAAGTGTGAGGAGATCACTAACGGTACTAGGTTTTATTATTTTATTTTTTTTGCCTTTGTATATACTTTTATATTTTGTTACATGTGACATTTTGAATATGTTTAAAACTGTGTCCTATGTACTTACTAATGTTCAAATAAATGGCATCCTTAAAAAAAACCTTGTGTGACCCATGGCATTTTTATTTTTTACAATTTTGCACACTACACAGAATTATTAATGTTATATTATCATAAATTGCAAAATTGCTTAATTTAAACAACCATACCCAGCCCCTGTTTCTTTTCATATAACAGCAAATAGATTTAAAGTCAAATGTAATGTCGCCCCAAATTGAGTTGGATGTGTATACTTTATTAACATTTAACCATAATCCTGTTTTAACTAAAGCATTTTTGTTGCTTAACGCTGCCAACACGCTAGACTCCACCACTCACCCTGACCGTTACCCTGTGTCTTGCCCCTGTGTTTTGCACAAAAACCAAACACTTCCTTCCCTGGGAAAAACTTTACGAGTGCATAACATAATCCAGGCAGCAATTATATTTCCCTCAAACATATTAGTATTATGTGAACATCATTTCTAAAGGCACAGGGTTTCCATAGCCACGATTTTGCATGTTTTCTCCTATTTGCTGCAAATCACATACTTTATATTACAGCTAACCATTTTGCAAAACATGCTGTGTGTGTTTTTGATTTTTGGATGCATGTCCATTCGTTTTTGTACCGAATCTATTCTCTTGAAATTTAACAAAGTTTTACAAAAAGTAATGCCGACTTGACGTCCACTGCGATGGATTAGACAACTCAAACAAGTTTCAAGAGTCTGCCAACTGATTTTTGTGCCATATTAAAATGAATGGAAGCCAAGGCTGCCTGGAACAGTAGTAAAAATACATCTGAACGTCTATAACGGACAGCAAAAAGGAAGGCTATACATGATTTGTAGTTTGCAAAAGCACTGGTACGGGCAAATCTTAAGCAAATCAAGTGCGAGAGTAACGCTGGTGACCAAAACTACTTTGCCAGCGAAATGAATGCCTGATTGCTAATATCAGGAAAGTCATAGCTCAGCATTTCTAGATAGCCAGCTGATGATTTGTTGATTTGAGTGGTAGCTCTCAGTGAAGAGCCTCCCTTCATGTGAAATGCATCAACAGCTGAGAAAGAGATAGAGAAAGAGGTGCTGACACGAACCAGGACCTAGCCATCAGCATAACTCATGATCTAATGAGAGCTCTGTGTGAGAGAAAGCAGTGCCCTGTCTGCTGATGTTCTCATCCTGCTGTCCCTACATTCCTTTCAACAAATTTGCTTTACCTCGACTTTTGATCGCCGACCCGTTCAACATTTACTGATTGTTACTCAAGTGGATACTCCACTGTGAGTGCATCTTTCTGATTCCGTTGGACAGCACCAAATATTGGTCTTTATAGTTTATAAATCATTTGTTGCACAGTGAAACCAGTTCAGTACGTTGCTTCAGTAAGAATTCATGGATCTCAAGCTTCTGGACCACGGCCTTTGAAAACCAGCAGTATTTGAAGACATATCTACTGTAAGTGGAAAGGAAGTTTAAGTAGGAGATAGGGTTGCATTTAAATGCTCTGTTTTAGAAGGTTAATGTTTCCAAGATGGCAGACAAACATATACTGTAGCTGTGTAGGTCCTAAATCCTAAAATATTTACTGTTAAAGTAAAGATTTTAAGATTTAGGATCTGCATATTTGCAAGTAAAGTATTGCTAACCATGGCATGCTGATTGTTGCAAAATTCTCAAAAACACAAGCCTATCGCCACGCAAGAATGTTCATATTGGATGATTCTGCAAAGCCATGAATTACATCCAGTGCCAGCGTTTCTCAGACTCTCGCTTCCTACAAAATCTTCACATGGCAACTATATGGTATGGGTAAGGTTAGGGAAACATCGTGGTTACACTTAAGTGACTCCAGTGTCCCGCACGCCACATAAATCCTGCTGCAGAATCACCCAATATGAATGTAATTCATAGGAATACTGGGCTGTAAAAGCAGCACAATCTGAGCTACTGCTTGTTCTGTTCACACATGCAAGTAACAATAATAAAAGCTAATTTAATAGTAATTTATTAAAAAATGGAATTTAAAGGACCAGTTTGTAAGATTTAGTGGCATCCAGCAATGAGATTTCAGATTGCAACAACAAACTCCTTGTGATTCAACCAAGCGTGAGAGACTTAGGTGGTCAGAAAAAACACAAAAGGCCGTATAGAGCCAGTGTTTAGTTTGTC